ATTATTAATTATTTTATTAATTATAAATTATTTTTAATAATTAAATTAAATTAAAAATTTAACAATTTTTTATGACAAAAGTAACAAAAGTTAGGATCCCCATAACCATTTTCGGTTTAGTTAGCTTTCGTGTACGGTAAATTGCACGTGTATGCTTTTATTTATTATACTTTTTCTACTGTTAAACTGAGTACTTGTATCTTTTTTTTGCAGGATGGAGGAGGATTGGAAGCAAGCAGAAGAAATTATTAAAACTGATCAACCACCGAGTCTTTGGATGTAAATGTTACAAAATTTGGTGTATGCTATTATTTTTAGGATATTTTTTTCATTGTTAAATTGAGTACAATTTTTTCTCTTGCAGGAAGACAGCTTGGGATAAGGATTGAGCTAATAGTCAGGATAAGGCTTGGGACGAGTATTATTGGATGGAGGCATTTGAAGCTGATCGACCAGCAGTGAAATTTTTAACGTAAATGATAGTATAAAATTGTGCCTATGCTTTCGTTTTATGATACATATTTTTACTGAAGAATTGAGTACTTTTTTTTTTCTTGCAGAGAGGAGAATTGGTTAAACGCAAGAGCAGAATTAGTAAACTTCTTCAATTCGCTAAAATATAATTTACTTTCCTCTCTTATATATTAAAAGCTTTTTAACTTATATTCTAAGAATACAATTTAAGAATGTTTGCATTGATTAATAATTAAAATATAAAAATTAATATTAATTTCAGCACTAATATACTCTTGCGTTCCTGTGTCCTAATTGAATGATGTGCAACAAAAAATTCTATTAGTATTTCTTAAGCTAATTAAAGCTTTTAAAATAGGATAAAAACCCCTTTTTGGTCCCTCAACTTTTGAAAAAAACTCTTTTTTATCTTTGTACTGGAAAAAATTTTTTTTTTAGTCTTTAAAAATTAAAATCCAACTCTTTTTTGGTTCTTTCGTTAAACTTTTAGACAAATAACAGTTAATTAATGAAATTGTGTAATGTGAAAAACCCACTTTATTAAAAAAATAGATGTGGTCATATTTTTGTGTTCACATTAGCATCTTCACCCTTTTGACTCTTTTTCTTTTTTAACCTTGCTAGATTCGTCATGAACCCACCTAGGCGCACAGTGGGTTCGTGATGAGCGTGTGCTTGGATTTGCGACAAACCTAGCTGGCGCCTTGGTTTGTCTTGATTTCGCAAAGAACCTAGCAAACCTAGGACGAATCCAGGCGTGCGCTGAATGCTTCGCGAACCCAAGCAAGAGCTAGGTTCGCAAAGAACCCAAGAACCTAGGACGAACCCAGGTGCGCGCCTGGGTTTGCAATGAACCCAGCTCATGCCTGGGTTCGTCTTGGGTTCATCGTAAACCCAGCTCGTGCTTGGGTTTGGGGGTGCGCTCGTCACGAACCTAGTGTCCCTGGGTTGGTTCGCGACGAACCTAGCAAGGTTAAAAAAAAAAAAAAGGTCAGAAGGGTGAAGATGCTGACACGAACTTAAAAATATGCCCACATCATTTTTTTTTACAAAGTGAATTTTTCAAATCACATAATTCTGCTAATTAACTATCATCTGTCAAAAAAATTTAACGGAGGAACCAAAAAAGGATCGAATTTCAATCTTTAAGGACTAAAAATGAGATTTTTTTGATACAAGGATAAAAAAAGATTTTTTCAATAGTAAAAAGACCAAAAAGAGTATTTATCCTTTAAAATATAAAATAAGAGTTTATACAATTTTTTGCACATTGTGTCATTTGTGTCATCCTTTTAAGATTGGCCTTGGCATTTATGAGCATAGTATTCTTTGCTGTTCCCTAACTATTTTCTAATTGCTATCTTGCGTGTATAATTGGTGCAGAGAACATGGTTGGACTTGAACATGGATTGTGTCTTTGTAAAATGGTTGCATTCCAGTGTTTCCCTAGTGCTATGCATGTCATTGATGAGTGTGATGTTATTAATTTTGGTTATTGTTAATGATAACGTTGATAGATTATTAATATTGTTATTATTTGCCAATGTCACATGCATGGACTATGAAGATGTTTATTTACTTATACATTTGTGAAATGTTTACACATATTTGCCTTTTTGTTGTTTTTTTTTTTTTTCAAGGTTAATATTGTAATTGATCATTACAAAGTCCTTAACCCCACTTGCATGGTAATGGATTTAGGCCTCTTTGGATAGAGAGGGCCAACTTTATTAAGAAAATTTTACTAAAATGTTATTAATTGAATATTATATGAAAATTAATAAGTTTTATAAGTAAATTTTGTTACATTATTAATTTTTTTATATTTGATGAAAAATTAATATAGTGAAAATTAATAAAAAAAAATTATCAAGTAAGTTATACATAAAAGAAGTTAGAAAAGAACTTTTTCCTTTCAAAAAAAGGTGGAAAGAAACATCATAAAGAAAAAAGTTTAATGGCTTGGCAACCAAACAGCCCTTTAGTTTGAGGGTGTTAATCCCAAACTTTCTTAAGAACTTGGAGTGGATATATAAGACGACTATAAAATTGCAGCATTTTTGTCTGATTAATTGAAAACATTGAATATATAGAAGACATAACTGGATGTTTTCCTTAGAGTGGCAGTTGAATTAGATGAAAAGATCCATTCATTTAGTTGAATTTTCAAGCTGTGCTTCAATTGTAGAAGGACATAATAACTTTTTGCTGAAGAAATTGAAGAAAGGAACTGGTGGAAACCACCTGATCTTTAACAGGTGAGATGCATCCACCAGTATGAGGTACATTAAACTGGGGCCCTTCTTCAATTTACAGCCAAATTGCTTTTTTACAACTAGGAGTTGTTCCAGTGCTTCTGCTTCTTATTGCACGTAGCAGGAACCTGGTTCAAAAGGGGCAACTCGGCCTGGTCCAGATAATGGAGCAACTGCAACTCCTCTTTGATTCAGTAAACATCTGAAATGAGCCAACCTTCCAGTAACTTCACTTGCATCCTTGGCAAGCTTGTCATATGGTGTCCATAGCCGCTCTGCATATAAAAGGACAAGGGAAAAGGAATTAAAACAACAAAATGATTCCAATAAGCCAAACACACACGCACACACCTCAATTCCAGAACCACTGATCAGACCACTTTTTTAAGCAAATTTTGCTAGCAACGCAACAAGTTGCTTGGTTAGATCGTGGTCTAGTTACAAATATCTTCTTTTACCTCTACAAGCCTTAATAAACTAGTCTTTGTTCTCCAGTTACAATATCCTATGTTTGATTTTTTATTTTTTTTTATTAGTATAGAACTATAGATGCCAGAACAAGAAACAAGTAGTGTAGCGTGTTAAATGTTCTTCATTATAAAACTTCAATGCAAGCTCTATTTTATTGGCTACCAGGCTTAACTCCCAAGACATGAAGCCAAGAGTTAAAGCATAAAAAATCAAAACCATTGATTTGTTAACAATATCGTGCCAGCAATAAGGTATTGGGGTAATGGAATGTTAACTTACTAGACAATAAGTACCAGCAGCTGCTGCAGCACGTGGCCATATGGTTTGTTCTATATCTGACCCATCAATGTATTCACCCCACATGCATACCTCACCACCAATAACTAACTTCTGTTGCTTGGAGTTTGTAATATTTGTGAGTGGTTCATTCATATAGAATACCTGCCAGGTGGTGTCCAAGTAGTGCAAGTACCACTTATCCTGGTTGCTCACAATGCACCTTAATCCAGATGCCACCACTTGCTGAGCAACTCCACCACCGAGCCTGATTTAAATCAAAGCACAACTAGAAATCTCAGGAGAGGCATTAT